ACACTGACTCCATGTAAACAAAATGAGAAAAGTTAAATCATATTTGAGAGAAGCAAAATCAGGATGATGTGTAACTTCACACGGCCACAGTGCAGCAGCTGTGTCAACCCATCAACTCTCGGCCCTTCCTTGCCTCTTGAGAAGGGTGTGGGACCCCTACATCAATAAAACCAGGTTTGCAGATAACTTCTCCAGTCAATGTCACCCTCTCCAAAGAAACCCTCACGAGAACAGGCTCAAGGACAACAATTTACAACAAGCAATGGTCTACATATCCACGGCACTGCCTTCGTCAATGCTGTGAATTTCATTCTAATGTTTTCAGCAGTGCCCATGTAGTTTCTATCACACGGCTGACTCTTACAGGACTATCTAATCACTGTGCAAGGGTGGTATGAAAATGGAAATAATCTCAGAGCACACTTAGAAAATCAAAGGAAAGGTCAATAAATTCTCAGAGAATCATCAATATATTGTGCTAAATATTAATGGTTTTCAAGGTCAATGTTTTCCCTGGCATTTCTGATAATAATATGAGCTATAAAAAACTAAATGTGTGAAATGGACATAATCCCAAAATGCACTGATGCACATCAATTATAAAAAAAAAAGAGGAAAGACATCATAATTGTTTTAAATGGCTTCTGTTTCTAACCTTGCTTACTCACTGCCCTCTGAGTGCCTGTTAAAATAAGGGAGCAGGTCATTCAGCAGCAAAAGCAATTATAAAATGCAAATGACTGACCATTTATTGTCAAGATTGGCTAGATAAAAAAGGTCTGATAATAACATGTTTCCAAGTAGATGACATAATTAGATGTTTGTATCATAAACAATGGGAAATAATACAAGCCTTTAGCATTTTCAGAAAGGCTGCAATTAAACAATAGGTAAGCATCGCAACACAAATTTTATTAAAAAGTGACAATTAAATTTCCCTCTCAGAAATTAAAAGGCACCATCTTGTGGTTGCTCTGCAAGAATGCAGTCAGGTCAACCTCTGACCAACCACCTCCTCCTCCCCTTTCCCACAGCACTAACTGGAATATCAGCATTCTGCCATAGAAAAGAATATGTGCTCTGCAATTCCCAGCATTTCTCTGAAGGAAACAGTGAGACTATGTATTAGGCAAGACTAGAAGAGTTATCCAGTCCAAAACACACACTAGGTTATGGTGTTATTAAAACATGTGTGTGAGGTAGAAAATTCAGAATTACTAGCAACCATAGCAAAACCACATTTAATTTCTAATAAGATCAAATTGTACAATAACCTAAAGACACTGCAGGCCATCAAAGCTGCATGAATTTTTGAGCCAGTTAGGATCAGAAAGTCTTGTTCCTGCTATCCTTACATTATAAAACCATGTTTTGAACATTTTGCAGAAAGTGTTTTAAATTATTGCATTCAATTCACTTCAAGCAAGAGTCATCCAGATAAATTTGTGCCATCTCCAAAGATATAGTTTCATATACAGGTCACAGCTCAGCATTCAGAATTTCTTTTTCCATGGAATCTGTAGTTGTAAGTAAAACAGTTCTGTATGTAACGTGTATATTCCTAGCTACTGATCTCTGCTTTGGGTCCAGTTCTGCCAAGAGCTCACTCACTGTGTCTTCTGAAATAAATTATCCACACTGATCTTTCTCAACTCAATTGTGCAGCTGAGCAGTGAGTTATTTAACAGGGAAAGTTCAATAGCTTTTGTCTTCCCTGTAAATGCATGTGAAATATAAACAAGTATTAATGTACTTATTGTTTTTATTGCTTTTATACTAAATTATAAATAAATAACTATTTCAGAGAGGTTAATTTAATTGATGTTTTTGTTATTTTTGATTGTGTAACTCCAGATATAGTTTGCTGGCTGTATACTTACTGTTTCAGTACATGTTGAGACTGAATCTAATACTTTTTACTACAGGAAGTATATGACCTCATCTCTTAACAAATAGTCAAGATGTGTGTCTCAAATCACATTATGTGAAGTACTTAACAATTCAAAATTAGTAAAATTTACATTTGCTATTTTTACACAAGCATACTTAGTTCCATCTTGCTGAAGGCTCAATGAGTTTTGAATGGCTAGAAATGAAAGCAAAATTTAATCCATATAAAGCTGTTTTCACATTCATAATGACTGGATTTTCTAGAAAACAGTTAGTAATTTAGGATACTTATTTTTCAAGCAAGCTAGCTTTAGAAGGTGCTAGTGACTGGCAGTATAACTTTGATAATATCCAGTCTTATCTTTGCTTTTGATAGGTGCTAATAAGAGAAGAATTTCCCTTGTCCTGAAAGTGTTATGGTGGCATAAAATCATCTGTTTCACTGAAAATCTCAGGAGTGTCATACATTTCTTTCTGACTTTTAAACACATCAGGGGCATGGATGTTTTGAGCCATCTTTTCTTACAAGATGCAACATTTTTTATTTTAGTGAATAACACCATTTTATCTGCTGTTTTTCTGAGCTTCATTCCTTTCAAGATTTCAGTCCTCCAAACAGGTTCACACCATACAATGTCTTGTTTATGTGCAAGCTCCAAGAGCAGGGTGACATAAAAAATTCTAAAGCTCCATATCTATATTATACAATTTCAATCTCTGCTGCCTCCCTGCTGGAAGTACAAATGAGTATTCGGTACACATTAAAAAGCAAACATTCATGCCTACTTATATCTCAGGATACTCCATATACTCAGCAGATGAAGTTATCTGACTCATTTTGTTTCTTTGGTTCTTAATATGACCTTTGATTTTCCCAAATACTGACAAACACTATGCCAGAACGATGCTCTGATTCCTAAGGGATGAAACCACAAATGTCACCAAACTGTTACAGGTGCCTCCTCTATCCCCACAGGATGGCCAAGGCAGCGCTATTTGCATTGTTTGCTCATCTCAGCAGGACTTGTAGAGACTGACAGGATTTCTCATCTCGCCCTAGGCTGCTGTTGTTCTCCCTCTCCTAGGCAAAGGGGATCTGCTATACCTGGAGAGCTTGAAAGAAGATGTTTTCTGAAAGTCTTTAGGTGCTGCAGGAAGAGTGAGGGTGAAAGGTTTTGGGTGAGGTGATGCTGGGGTAAGCCATGTGAAGGGATGCAAGCATCATCTTCCCCTTAAGTTCATTCCATCAATAAAACTGCAGTGAAATTTCAATGGTTGCTGATATCAGAGTATCTGGGAGCAGCAGGGAGGAGGTGGAAGGTAAGTGATTGGAGGCAAGGAGGAAAGAAAGGAGAGAAGCCTGACTCAACTCAACTCAGCTGCTTCAGATTTATTCCTAACTTTTAAAAGTACCTAAAACCTTGATTATTAAACATTTCTGGTACAAATGCTTTCGAAAGGTCACATTCCTCCAGTCATTGCTATCTCTATCCAACACTAATGAGCAAACAAGAGAGAAAAAAAAACAAAAGAAAAATTTGAAAAAAATCAAATCAAAGAAACATAAACGAACTCTTTCCCCTCCCCTCACCCCACAAAAATTAAGGAACTTAAAGGAAACAAGTCCTTAATTAGAAAGTTTCTGTTTGCTTCCCTTCATGCTCAACTTCCAACATGCTGCTACTTCACATATGTATTTACACCCTGTAAAATACTGAACTCACGTAACAAAATTATTATCAAAGCAGTCCTATTTTTCTAATTGAGTGTGTGCTAAAAGTCCAGAAGAGCTAAACCAAATTTTACTGATATTCTTATAAGATCCGAATCCATTTTAGGAATGGATAAAAATTACTGATATTTACATGGGTTTCTAAAGTAACCAGTATTATTTTTCCTTACAAATTCATTTCAGAAACATAACATTCCAACAGTATGTTAACAGAAGGAATTAGCCTGCAGTATTGAAAAGAAGAGGACTGAAAGGGTCCTTCAACAATAAATGAATGTACCCATGTTCAAACAGTGTTTAGGACCTTGACACCTCACACTGCCTTAGTGTGTGTTAGAAAAAAATTCTTAACAATGTATTTGTAACAGGAAACTTGAGTACCAAAAAGTTGCCTCAAAAGAAGCAAAAACAAATAGTAAATTTTCTGAGTAATGACTCAAGTTACAAAAGCTCACTAGCATCATCTGGAAAAATACCAGTATAAATATATATTTTGGATTTACTACTGATTGTATTAAATTACATTTCTAAACATAAATTTAAAAATTGTCATAGGTCACAATCTCCTCAAAAGGAAAAATCAAAAAGACCTAGCAAAATCCAACAGTTTCTCTCAATGTTTAACATTCAGATTTTGCCATAGGAATAAAATAAACTATTTTATTTTAGGTTTTGACATGGGCACATACATATAGAAAGATTTATTTATTATGCAAAAAATTATAATTTCAGCTACAAATTTTTCAATATATTATTAGTCTTAGCACATTTACAGTATTCTGGTTGTATAAATTGCAAGTACACAACAAGTCAACAATAGGATTTTCAATATTGGGTCAGTTTGAAATTACAGGACAACATATCAGTAGTAAACCCACCAAAAAAAGAATTGTGTTGATGTATTCTTTTCCAGATGTTACCAGGACAACTTTGCAAGTATAAACTCCTATAAAGAACATTTCTATAGAGACAGTTTTAGACTTTGACTTTGAGCTACAGAGAGTTTGTCTTTTGAAAATCAGAATTATCTGTAGAAGATTAATTTGTTTCCCATTAAGTTTCAGATTTCTTCTTCATCCATAAAATTAACTGCAGTGAACTTCCAGGAGTAAAAAGCTGTCTTTTTTCAGGCTTGAATAAGAGGAGAAATAGTCACTTGTCCTGAAATCTGGCTACAATTAAACACATTGAAGAAAAATTAAAAGCTGTAAATGTAAAACTTTGGAGATTTTGCTGTCATCCTTTGTTATACAAATACTTTACTAAACGGATAATCAATAAGTAAGCATCACCTACATTTCACTAAACATCACAAAATGTTCAAAGCATTATTTAAATAGACCATAATATAAAATAAACAGGTAATGACAATATTTACCTTTTCCAACTGGGCATTTTTTTTTGATTTATACAAAAACTCCCCAACTGCCACAAAGACAGAAAGCACCAATCCTGCTGCCAGCACGATGAAGATTCCTCCAATGTTTTGAACTCCCAAAGCACTGGCCTCTTTGCTTTCCTCTTCTGGGCAACCATTGCCTCTCCACCATTTCTCTTTCATCATGTGGAGCTTGCCTTCTTCCTGCAGCTGAAGAATTGCTATAGTGATCTTGTCTCTATATGGAGAACCTGAAGAGAACACAGGGAAGAAATATCACATGGAATATATTACATGAAATGTTAGTTATTCCAAATAAGAATAAATAATAACTCATGAAGGCTATATCTTTAACAGCCATAATATTAGTAAAAAAAGCCATTTGCTTCTCGAGACAATCACACTGGTGACATAAATACAAACCTGCTTGCTCACACAAATATATATCCAGAAAACTCGATCCAGCTGGTGTTTCCAGTAAGCCATGACACTTGATGCAACAATTCCTACCACATTTAGTCCCATGCTCTCAAACTTCTTCATGCCCAAATATTATACTCAGTCAAAGAGTATTCTTCTTTCAATTTTTTTCAATTTTTTCCCAAGAAGTTTTTTAATGGGCTTCATTAGATTTAGTTTAATATATGTAAGCTGTTGCTTCATAGCTTGCTATCACAAAGCTAATACAAGCTCTGATATTTAATGAATACTTCATCCTGTCATTTTATTAAATGAGGGAGAAATAATTTATGCTTCAGGACCAACCCACAGAAGTCTTCATTTGATAGATTTTCAGGCACTTAAAACACCTTTCTGCATGCACTTACTTATTAACAGTAACAGGTAGCAAGAATTCAGAAGGATAATATTCAGTGTGTTTGGATATCAGGGATGTATAGTCTCATATTTTGATGTCTCATAATTCATTATTTTAAAATTACATTATAATTTTGTAGCTTTTGAACATTTCAATATTTCAAGGGGTAGTTCAAAGGCTGGTGTCATATCTTTGTATGTAATCTGTTCTCTTTTTCTTTACATTGGGCATAGGGGCTTCTCAATGGGTATTTTAAAATGTACATTGATAATTGAATAATGGCGATGGAGAAGGCTTTTATTTTCTGCATGTTAGAGAGTAAATCATGTCAGTTAGAAGTGCTTTCTCTGTTAAGACTTGTGCAATGTTTAAGTAGAGAACAAAGCCATCATTTTTCTTGTCCTTTGAAAACAGGAACAAAAGACTCTTCATTAAAGTGGTTAAGAAATCTCAGGAAAGGAAGAAAAAGAGTAGATGAAAAAGCATGGTATCCCCTCTTTCTGTTCATATCAATGCAATTCTATAATGCATCCCTCCTCTTTTTCTCTCTATCATAATAATGCTACTTACTGGCTATAGACTTTAGGGTTTCTTTCAGCTGAGTAATAAAATAGATATTCATTAACTTTTTACCTTTGAAACAAAATCCTCTGTATCTGCTAGAGAGATGCTGCCTGTTTAACTATTTAATGCACTGCGATCAGCTGTGAGGAACTGAAGAAATGCATGGATAAGATGCTTTATAGTCTTAAAACTGTTGGAAAATATTTATATTTTTTAAATGTCTTTTCAATTATTCTATATTTCTTCAATTTCTTTACATATTTAGAATTTATCCTGAGAAGAAAGCTTATAACAAAGCGCTGCTGTGCCAGTTTATAACATAGAAAGAACTGCTAATTGCAAAATGCAAAAGCACCTTTTCCTTTATTCAAGAAAAAAAGGTGTGAAGAGCCAACCTCAAAGTATTTAAATTGCAAGGACTTGTGCATTTATCATCTGTGCTTGGAAAAGGATGATGTTTTGTGCTGGGAGGTAAACTGTGTTTGCACTGGACTATACGGGAAGCATGAAGAAAGGAAAACAAACATTCAGGGGCCTGAGTCACATCATTTCAGACCATCTGATTATGCTGGAGCTCTGCAAACCCCACTCTTGACATGTTGCTTCAGTCAGATGGAAGAAGGAAGTGATTAGTCCACAAGAGCCTGGGGAAGTGTAAGTGCATTCTGTAATCTTTTGGGGATATTTTCAACATTACGCTGCATATAAATATTTAACAACAACAACTTAAATAACATTAGATTCAGAGAAATAGTCTTGGACTCAGTTTAAGCTGTCTTCTGATCTGACAGGCTGCTTTCTAATTAAACTGATTTGCATTTTGTTTCCACACTCTCTGTTGGTCTAAATATAGTGAGTACCATCTATTCTTCATGTATTATTTATATTTTCTGGGGATCAGATTTTTACACTTACAATTCTAGTCTATTTGAAGAAGTTAAAAAATTTATTAACTGAGGAATTCACAGACAGAAACAATAAAGCATGGGCTAATACAGTCTACAATTAGTTAAGTTTATGAAGGTTGCATTGGAAATACACAGATAACCGTGATTCAGTACAATAGTAATTGTGATACTATTTGTGGTTTGCAAAATTTTGCACAAATAATTCTGGAATGGATTACAGGGCCTTTCTACTGCAATGTTTATATTTGTTATACCTTATCCTGTCTAAGAAGTTATCCTGTCACAAGTCAGGATCGATGTGGGATGACAAGCATTATATATTGCTGCTGTTAAATCAAACATTTAAAAATTTATACCCATGAAAAGCTAGCATTGAATGCTGTAGCTCTATTCTAATTCTGAAGGACTTAGAATGTTCTAAATTAATAGATTTTCATTTTGCAGCAAATATTGAGTACACCTAATGATCTGCTACTTTGAGAAAAGGAATTTTTAATTCTTTTTATACTGACTCAAGTAGCCCTTAAGAGAACAAAGGAAGCATATGAACAATATTATTTCCTCTGACTGGACTTTCTCCTGGCTTTTTTTCTCTTACAAACAGAACTGTAAGTCCCAGCAATGGAAAATCCACCCAAAAGCACCTGAAATGGCTAAAAGTACCACAGACTGATCTGTGAATGACATTGGTAGCATAAAAAAGTAAGAAGCAATAAATACAGAATGTGGTCAAGGCACCCAGATTACCCTCTAAGTATAACACCTGCTTTTCCTGCAGAAATGAAAAATGTTACCAAGTAAATGCAAAAGATTTCTGACATTTTCAGGTAATTTTCTCTATCACTTTCATCACATGACTGAAAGATGACTCAAGCCCTACCATGAGGTGTTGCAAGAAGCACATGTCCTGCTTTTTACATTTTTAAATCTAAAGCGTCTAATATAATTTTATTTAAATCCTCATTAAAGGGAGTTTAGTGTTCAAAACAAAAACAAAAAAGTCATAAAAGCAAAATAGAAACTCTAATAGTCACAGTCAATATACATGTTTTCAAAATACCTACAGTATGAATAAGAATGAAGTAATAAAGCATAAGGAAAAAAAAGAAAGAAAAATAAAAGAAAGAGGAGGAAATAGGAACATGAGGAAATAGAAACTTCGTATCTCAACCTTTAATACAAAGACAAAGCAGCTGAAAAAAACCCCAATCTTACAAGCCTGTGCATGGGGGGAAGACAGGGAGGGAAAAGAGAGTGATTTTTAAAATGCTCTTCCAAAATCAGGGGAAAAAAGTGAGTGCATAATTTTCCACTGAGTGAAGAAAAAGGCAAAAGACCAGTATGGAAACATTTGACTTTTTCTCTCCTCTCTTTTGTTGGTTTCTACCTCTTTTGTTTCCCTATCAACTGATTATTTATTACCATGAAAAACTGGGACTGGAGGATCTACAGAATATAATCTATAAATTATTTGCTGATCCTTCTCTAGCTCCTATTTGCAGAAATGAGAATTTCTGCCAGAATAATTTTAAGCGCTTCTGTTATAGATTATAGGGGTGTTTCTTCCTTCCTGCACAAGTTCAACAACCTCAAGAGGGGAAGCAATAATTTCTAATTTCAGTTACCTGCTTACAAAAGTTTAAACTAAAAATGAAAATTTGCATAAAACACCTTTTTCTAAAGCATCTCTACAAAACTAACAGTCTCCCAGAGTTACTGCAGAAGTTATACATAGAGATGTTTTCTGCCCTAAAGTCTCAATATGTAAAGATTTATGCACATAATGATATGTTTAAACATAAATTATGAACACATAAGATTTTTATATTGAGGCTTCACTGCATACAGATCAGTATTTTGAAATTCTGCTGATCTAACTGGTTTTGAAAAAGCTTCCTACTAGATTTTAACTTAGTAAAATCTCCTGCCTGGTTACTCTTAGTCTGTTTTACTCATTCTATCATATGAAAGCAGTTGGAGCATATTGGAACTGGTAGAACTGATTCTGACTTTAAGTCAATCAAAAGTAAGAGCAGTATTCTGCTAACTCCTTCTATAAGAACGTTTTTAGCCAGGAAATATTTTGTTCCATTGAGCCAGGGACACTTTACCAAAAGGAATGACTATGAATTGCCTATTGCTTTTAAATATGCCCACAGGACATTCTTACATGTTACTTTTGATTTTCTAGATAGGAAAAACACATTCTGAATACAAAGCGATAGCATCTTTTATTTCTGTTTTTTCTTTTGTTATTAATAGTCCCAAGACACTTCTATTTATCTTGCAACATTATTTCTATTCTGTGTACTTGGCCTAATCAAAGGACAATGGTTAGGAATACACCATCATATTCAAAACCTAGGTCCAAAATTGAGATTATTTAGAACTTCTTTCACTAGTAAATACTTATGGGAATATTTATGGGAAGGAGAAAGCCACATATAACAGGAAGGATATCTAGGTTTGAGGCTGTATGCGACTAGTATACAATGACCAAAACAACCAGTTCAAGTTCTTGTTTTACTAGTTGAAAGGAAAAAGCACTAAACTCAGAATGAGAGAGTTCTGTCTTATTTGTTTTGAGTTTGTTTTTCAGCATGAACCCATTCCTGTTGTGATTATGTCACCTTGATCTATCCATCCCAAATATAGTCTGTGTGTAAATACAATATACTGCAGTCACAGTCTCAGTCCAATTAAGCATGCCTGAAATTTCCATAAGAATGCTGATTAATACCATTTATACTACTGGGAATGGGAGAATCATTTAAGTTTTAGCTTAGCAACATCTCTCTTATCCAATCACTTAGCCCTCTCAAGACCGCAGTCTAAATGTCGTGCCACCAAATTGTTTGCATGCTTAGTCATATCATACTTGAAAGTTTTGGGGTTTGTATTGCTCTGTTATCCCCGATCATCTGTTACTGTGGCAAAGGTTTCCTTTTACTTTTACAAGACA